GGTCCTAAAATACCAGAGTGTGAAAGTCGAACCTTTGTCTTTCTCAATGCTCAGTAATTAAACCTCGCCGAAGATTACAAAATTGCCCAAGCGCTTCCTGAAAGTGAGAGGAATTACGCCGACCCATCGGCTGCCCGCTTAATTTTATGTAATAACAGGGACCTTCGGAACGTGTGCTGAGATTTAGGAGAGATAAAGTTCTGTGTGTTGCAGGCTTCTTCATAGCGAAGCAGAGGAAGCCCTCTGGGGGCCAAGTCCCCTGGGTGGAGCCAGTCAGGGAACCTATCAGGGCAGGTGAAGGTGATGCGATGGGTGTCGCCACCAAGGAAGTACCTGTCGGTGGGGCACCTGCAATAATGCAGTGCCGGCTCAACTCTGGAAAAAGCTTCCGTGGGAAAGTATCTGAGAAAACTGCCCAGCACTCCCTGGGGTGATGAATCCTGGGTGGGAATGAGTAAGAATCTTTTTTAAATTATTTCTCCAGTTTTTCAATTTATGAACATATTTTAACTCTTCAGGTCAGGAGGAAGGAAAGCACATTTATTTTAAAAATAAATAAAAATAGAAGATAAATGCTTTGCCGGGGACAGGCTTCGCAATTGCTGGCTCCAAAGTAGAGCAGGGTAGGCGTTCTCCCTTGGAGCGCCAAGCCTCTCTCCTGTTATTCCATACAAATGATCCCTCTGCAAACAGGCTAAGCCTCCAGGGGGCTCAAAATGCAAAGTAACCCCCTTTTTTTAAAGATTTATTTATTTGTACAGGCCAGAGGTGCAGGGGGTGAGAGGCTTCCCCAGAGACAGAGTGGGGAGCAGAACAGGCAGATGGACGAAGTACTCAGCTGAGGGAAGCAGCGGGCGGGTCAGGAGAGGTCTGCCGCGCCCTGTGGTCACCTCCGGGACTGGCAGGGATCGAACTCGTGCTGAAGTGGCTTTTGATTCTTAGTGCTGAGCTTTAACCCGCTGCGCCACCAGGGAGGGCCCGCAACCCTCATTTTTACAGATGTCAAAGCGAGCTCACCCAAGCCACCCATCCGAGGCCTGATGTTAAACAATACTGTCCCTGGGAATATTTATGAAGCTAAAATTAGATAACACATGAGGGGGAAGGGTAGCTGTGTTCCCGATACATTTCTTCAGCGAATTCTCATTCCTGGATTGCCAAACCCAGGCCATTGCAATCATGCCTGGAGCAATGTGCTAAGGAGGATTATAAACCGGATAGGGACCCGTGGACTAGGATGTGGTGACGGGTTTTCGAAGTGGCCAGAGGAGCAGTGGGGGGCGGCACAGGTCGGCTCACACGCTGCCCTTTGCTGTCACCCAGCCACCCACCACTGGAGATGGGCGTTATCAAGAACATGGAAGGGGCTTTGATCTTGCCGTGCAGGGAGGTGACAGGGTCGTGGCCGGTCTCGCGCCTCCTGTGTCTGCTACCCCTCAGGCTGGACTGAGGGGTGACTGGAAACTGAGGTGTCTCGGTCAGGTCTGGCAGCCATAGCAAAACCCCATCATCAGTAGCATCAACAGCAGCTCCAGAAGTGCACCAGGCTGGCGCTGCAAGGCGTCTCGCAGTCGTTCCCGCGGTGTGTGAAGACGTTGGTGGCCTGGTCTCCAGTGCTTCTAAGGACACAGCTTCTGTTGCATGGGACCTCACCCCAGGGGGCTCATTGTAACCTGATTACCTCCTCTAAGACCTTCCTCCAAATGCAGCTACATGCTGACATCCTGGAGGTGGGGCGCCACATGAGAATTTAGGGGCACCACACCCATCACGTGCAAGGACATTTTAAGCTTGGGGACATGAAGGTAAACCAAGCCAGTCAAGGGCATTCCCCCTGGGCTCACCCCGTCTCAGCTAACACTAGACGAGCAGAATCCAAGCCAGAAGAAAACGGTTCGCTGCTTTCAAAGACGATGGCTAAAGCGGGCCTCTGGAGCAGGGCCCCCCAGCAGCAGAGCCTGAACCCCTGTGCCGCCCCCCGGGAGCCTGCAGGACATCAGTGGCGGCCCTCGCGTCCCCAGAGGGGTGGCCCCACGCCGCCCAGATCCTCACCGGAACCCCGCGCTTCTCTCACCCCCTAACTCCTTGAGCAGGACTGTAACTGAACTCCTGTGAACGGCTCCGTCTTTACTTCTTACATGTGTTGGAACTGTTCTCTTGTTTCCTGAAGTGACTGGTTGATATCCTCTGTGTGATGTGGGGGTGTCACCCCCACAGGTGCCACCCGCCACGCCACAGAGGCCTCCCTGCCCCTGCCTGGTCCGCAGCCAGGACCTGTGGACCAGCCCAGGTGCTGCTGTGGTGACACCACCGTCCCAAGGGTCACGACGTGGTCGCCCTCCCTGTGTCTTGCAGAGGCTTCCTGAGTGACGCTTTCCATAGAGGAGGCCCCACTGGCTCCAGCACCCGCCTCATGAAGGGCGAGATCACCTTTTCCCAGGTAAGAGGACACCCCATGGACCCCCTCAAGTAGCCTTCTGTGTCCACACGGTGAGCTCCCCGCGGGCAGGGCCTGGCCGGCTCCCCCGTGCACCCTGGGGTGGGCTGCAGGCGGGAGACACTCCGAGGCCTTTCAGAGTGGCTGTTGCCTCTTGGGGACCCCGCAGAAAGCTCACACCAACGACTGGGGAGTGCGCAGGTCCCCAGAGGTCAGGCCGGAGCAGGGGCCCGTTCCCCGTGGACGAGGAGGTGGCGTGGGGGTGCAGTGCCTGCCCTGGGCATGCGACACACGCCGGCTTCTCTGCTGTGTGCGGCCTCCCAGAGACTCCGGGGCCCAGAGGAGGTGGTAGAAAGGCAGTCAGACCACGGCTCCTTGGGCGCCACTGACCTCGCGACTGACCTCGCCACTGAATCGTTTCCTGCTGTGTTTGCGGCTGCTCTGCACACTGCTGCAGCTCGGCGAATTGTCACAAACTGGCTACGCTCACACCGCCGGCACCCAGACAGTTAAATATGTGCCACCTGGGGTGCCCCGTCCGACCCAGGCACTGCCGCTCAAGATGTCGACCTTCCAGCTCGGTGGTGTCTACTTAGCCCCTGGGGTGATGCAGTCACGCTGCGGGACCCCTTTCTCAGCTTTCTCTTGGCGAGCATCTTAGTGTTAGCACGCGCCGCGCTGGGTCACCCCTCAGCGCTGCACAGTACACCCCCGTGTGCCAGTAGTCCCGGGGAGCTGACCCAGTCTGCTGGTGGCCCGGGCAGCCTTCAGCTGGGACTGTCACCCACCAGGAGTGCAGCGGTGACAGTGTGTAAACGCGTCACAGTCCGCGCACCATCCGTGGGGGCCTAGATTTGCCAGGACCACCCACCAGGGGCTCAAACCATGGAATCTCGGGGTTCTGGAAGCCAGATGTCGGCGAGGTTGGCTTCCTCCAAGGCTCTTCCCTGGCTTGCAGGGGTCGTTCCCCCTCAGTGCATGTCTGTGTCGCAGTTCCTTCTTTTTATAAGGGTAACAGCCTTACTGGATTGGGGCCCCCCAATCATCCCCTTTAAAAGCCCGTCTGAGGCCCTATAGCTTAGGGCTCCAGCATACATATTCAGGGGGAGTAGCCTTTAACGCGAGCATTGAATTAGGGGTTCTTAGGAACAGCACAGCCATGAGCAAGTCTTGGGGGGCAGAATGCCAGTAGAAGCATCCACACCACCCATCGGGGTGGGATTCGGGGCACGGGGAGCCTTACATCAGGTGCAGCAGAGGCTGCCGGGCCTCGCCGGTGCCCACTGACCCCCCTCCTGTGACAGTGGGTGCCGCTCATGGAAGACAACTGCAGGAAGATGGCCCAGGACACCGGCGTCAGCCTCCCTGCAGACTTCTCCGTCAGCGAAATCTTTGGCAAGGCGGTGCCCGCACGGAGGAGCAACCTGCCCATGCTCCAGGCGGCCCTGGCTCTCCGGAGGAAGGGTAGGGACGCAGCCGGCTCCGACCCGACCGCTCAGAACGGTGGGGTGCGCTTGAGCTCACAGGCTTGCTCTCGTGGTAGGAGCCCCCTTGTCCCGGCCGGCCTGCCGGGAAGCCGGGCAGCGGGTGGTGTGAGCGAGGACCCCGCCGTTGGGCCCCGGAGCCGCTCCGAGCTCTGCGGCTGCCGCTCACGGGAGCCCTCTCGCTCAGGACTCGCCACCTGCGTCCTCACCAACAACTGGGTGGATGACAGCGTGCACAGAGGCAGCCTGGCCCAGCTGATGTGCGAGCTGAGGCCGCACTTCGACTTCGTGATCGAGTCCTGTCGGGTCGGGATGGCCAAGCCCGAAGCGCAGATCTACCAGCTCGTGCTGGACACCTTGAAGGCCAGCCCCGGGGAGGTAGGTGGCCCTGTGTGCTGGGACAGTGTCCCAGAGAGACCGCAGAGCAGAGGCCGAGGGAGCCGAGGGCCAGGCGGTGTGCTGGACCGTCCCCGGCCAGACGCTGGCCCTGCCCTCCTCGGCGGCCAGGACTTCTCCAAAGGGCTCGTGCTCTTCGCTCGCCCCTCGGACGTCCTCTCAGGGGTGCGTCTGCCTCCGCCTTGGTCAAAACAGACACTGCTGAACGCGGCTGGGCCAGTGCCTCAGTTTACCCATAAAGAAATGCAGACCCAGGACCGCAAAGCTAGTCCGGTCAGCCGGCGGGAGGGTGGGCGGCGGGATCGGGCTCTGAGGTCGCCCGAGGCCCCCTCCAGACTCCCGTGCGCTCCAGACTCTGCCTCGTGTGACGCAGACGCCCCGTTTCACGAAGGCCGTCCTCCTCGTGTTTGCCCCTCACGCTGCCCCAGAGGCGCCTGGACCACGTTCGCTTCCTGTTTCCTTCTTCTCAGGGCTTGGCCCTTCCATGTTGTCCCCGTGTCGGAGGGACGGAGCCCCGAGCGCCACTCCGGCTGTCCTTCTCACCTGCATCCTGTGCTCGGTGTGAGGCTGGTGGCACATTTAAGTGTCTGCTTACACCGATGTCCTTTCACTTACCACTTTTCGGTTCTAAACTGCCCTTGTCTGGGCCCTCCCTGGTGGCACAAGGGTTCCCGCGCAGCACTGTGAAGCTGCGGCAGCCGCTGCAGCACGAGTCCGGTCCCCGGCCAGGGAGGGACCCCCAGGGTGCGGCGGGCCCCTCCTGGCTCCCGCCGCTGCCCCCCTCGGCTGTGTGTTTCAGTCAATCCACCTGTTCCGCTCCCCGCTCTGTCTCTGGTGAGTCCTCTCACTCCCGTCTCTGGCCTGTACCCCAGTTCTAAAAAAAAAAGTAAAAAGTAGACCGCCCTTACCCAAGACCGAGGGTCAGTGCTCCCTGCTGCCCTGTACACGCCAAGGTCTTTCTTGTAAACCCATGGTCCGTTCAGGAGCGTTTGGGTGGGATGTGCAGCCAGAGTCCAGTGTTTGGCCGGAACAGTCAGCCAGACATCCTAACACCATTAAATAACCTTTTTGCTGATGGGTTTTGCACACGGCACCTTAGAGACGAAACCATTATTTGGGGTTTGGGGTCTACTCCACGACTCCCTTCAGTTTCACAGACATCTTTTTCTTTTCTAGGACCAAGCCCCCCACCTTTTTTTTTTAACCCTTTGTGGCCTTAAGAGTTTATTTTCTGCTCCTATTATAGTCCTTGCCCGGTTGGGGTCTGTTCGTACGTGCTGGTTTTCCTAGAGAGGTCAGATCTTCCCGACGAGGGCACGTCCTTCCTTAGTCTCCAGCACCTTCAGCGCCCAGGTTGAAGGCGCAGGTGCAGCGTCTGCGCCCACCTGCCTGCCGGCGTGATCACACAGCTCTCGTGAGAGTAACAGGGCCGCGGGGGGCACCGGCCCCCCGCCTTGTCGGGAAGTCGCCGCTCCGCTCCCCGAGGTCTCTGCTTCTGCCCCCTCGAGTCGTGCTTGGTTAAGTGGCCCTGACGTCCGTGACTCTGGGCTCAGGTTGTTTTCCTGGACGACCTTGGGGCTAATCTGAAGCCGGCCCGCGACATGGGAATGGTCACCATCCTCACACGCGACACCCAGGCGGCCCTGCGGGAGCTGGAGAAAGTGACCGGGATGCAGGTAACAGTCATCTCGCTGTCACTCACTGTATGGGGGGCAGGGGCTGGACGTGGACATGGCATTGCCTGGGCACGTCGTGGGTGGAAGTCCAGCACCAGCTGTGCCGGCCACTCGGTTCCCTGGAAGCATTTGTGAGCGGGGACGATGTTCTGAGAGCGAGACCGAGACTGGGCCTGGTGCCAGAGCCGCCAACCGAGGTGGGAGGGGCTCTCCCTGCCCCTCCCTGCCAACCACCCCTCCCCCCCAACCCCGCTGCTCCTTTGACATTGAGTGGAGCTGCCGGTGTCCCCAGGGGCAGGGAGCAGAGGCCTCACTGGGCCTCCTGGCCACATAAGGACAGGAAGACGCCCAGCAGAGAAGGGGGTGGCCAGGCCCCCCCAGGACTCGGGAGGCCGTGGCCAAGGGCTGAGGGCACGTCCCTAGCTTCGTGCCTTCCCGCCTCGAGGAGGGAAACTCCGCTGTCTCAGCAAAGCTTTCCTTCTTTCAGCTTCTCCACACCCCAGCCCCCTGGCTCACCCCCTGCAGCCCAAGTGACCTGAGTCACGGATATGTGCCGATAAAGGTAGGTCAGCGCCATCCCCCTGAGAGCGTGGGCGCGAGCGTGTGTGCGTGTGTGTGCGTGCATGTGCGTGTGCGTGTGTGCGTGAGCGAGTGCGCTCTCCAGCCGCGGGACCTAAAATAGCCTGCAGGGACATTTCATTATCAAAGGGCTCGAGCGTCCCCAGTTTTAGGGGAACAGTATTTCCGGGGTTTCTTTCTGCACCAGTGGGAGACTTGGCCTGCGTCTCAGGATGTGCGAGCACCCAGGTTCCTGGAGCCCACAGGCCGCATGGGGCCTGGAGGGGCCTGGGGGCTCCCTGGCATCTGGCCCGCATTCTGGGGCAACAGTTTCCCTCCAGCAGGTACTTCTCAGGCTCTGCCTAGTGCCAGGCTCAGGCCCGCACGAGGCCACTGCAGGGAGCAGCGCAGGATCTTGTTCATGGTCAGGGAGGCGCCTGGGAGCACCCAGGGGCCAGGCCCGGGCGAGACCAAGGGGCTGGGCAGCCGAGCAGCCTGCCGGGTGGACGGGCTGTGAGCGCCTTCCCGTCTCCCCGGGGACCTGCCTGCCTCTGCCTTGGCCCCCTCAGTGCAGAGAGCCTGAAGCCGAGGCAGCCTAGAAGCAAAGCCAGTCCTGGGCTCCGGCGAGCCGGCTCGGGCCTGGCTGTGGCACTAACCGCATTTGCAAATCCGAGCTTGTTGCTTACCACTCTGGACCTCAGTGCACGCAGCTTCATCGTGGGGGTCACACCTTTCCTCTTAGGGAGTCGGGGAGACGTTGCCTGCAGGGGCCTCAGCCCTGGACCCCCCATAGGCAGTGGCTGAGGAAGGACATGGGGAAACCAGTGGCCCTGGGGCCCCAGACATCTTGGGGCATCTGCTCTCTGCTGGGCACATGTAAACCCCAGCAGAGGAGGAATGTGTTTCTTCCCGTGCCCTGTGCCGGGCAGCCCAGGGCAGAAACCCTGTCCCCATCACAGCGTGGGGTGGCACCTGCGGGGAGCAGTGGGGGGGAGAGCGAGGTGGGCGCCCCAAGCACAGCCGTGGGCCTCCAGGGCGCGTGGCCTTTGGATAAGAAGGGCCTTCCCTAGGCGGGAGGCTCCTGGCGGAGTCAGGAGCCCCCCAGTTAGCCAAGAGCCCCAGGGGTGAGCTGAGATCCTGAGGACCTGCCCTGGTGTCCGAGAGACCACGGCCAGGGCTCGGGCCCGAGCTGCCAGCGCCTGACTGGCCCGTTCTCATCCTCTGGGCGCGGACACTTGGCTGGAGTCAGATTCTCGTCTGGCTTGGAGGAGGGTGGTCGGAACTGCCTTAACACCCCAAGCCCCAGCCCCAGCCGGGGCCGGGGCAGTGACCGCTGGCTGCCCAGCTGAGCCCCGCTCGGCCGCTGGGCCACCAAGCCCACTGACAGAATGCCGCCCCGCGGGGGCGTAACGAGTCGTCCTTTCCCTGGCTCTGAGTAACCTGTCGCTGAGAGGCTGGGCAGGTACGTGCTGGGTGTTGACCTGCGGAGCAGGGATGCAGCGACCTTAGCCAGCACGGAAGCCTGCCCGCCTCCAGCCAGCCCGTGGCCACCGCTGCCCTCTCTTCTGCAGCCCGGGGTGTGCCTGCATTTCGTGGAGCTGGGTTCCGGGCCTGCCGTGTGCCTGTGCCACGGGTTTCCCGAGAGCTGGTTCTCGTGGCGGCACCAGGTAAGGCGGGTGAGAGGAGGGACAAGGCGGAGCACGCAGCCCCCAGGCCGCACGGTGGGGCCTGGTCTGGACCCAGGACCAGGACCTGGGTGATCCTGGGCCGAGGTGGCTCTGGAGCTCGGCCGTGCTGGCCGGCGCCCCCTCGGCAGGCTAGAACAGTGCACCGGGGTGCGGCTGGGGCAGCTTTGCCCTGAGCACGGAAACCTGCCAGGGCCTCCTGGGAGAGGCTGTGAGGGTGCAGGTGCAGCGCCCACCCCCGCCACCTGCCGCCCCAGGGTCAGGGTGCCAGGTCATGCCACAGGGTGACAGGTCGTGCCATGTGGTGCTGTGAGTGGCCGCACACCGGCGAGGGACAGGCAACAGAGGCCTGCTGCCCCCGCCAGGGGTGCTGGGTGCCTGTTCCCTAGATCCCTGCGCTGGCCCAGGCGGGCTTCCGGGTCCTCGCCGTGGACATGAAGGGCTACGGAGAGTCGTCGGCGCCTCCAGGTGGGTCGGCTGCCTCGCTGCTGGCGCGACGGGCCAGCTCCTTCTGTCGGGGTCCCTGGGTGCGCCCGCCCGGCCCACTGTGCTCCCCATGCCACGGCGCACAGGCGGCCCTTGGGGGCCTCGCT